GTGCTTATGTACTTAGTAATGATTTAAATATTTTTAGAGAAAAACAGAAGTTGTGGTCTGGAAAGACCTCAAAACTCAGCTTTTTGTATTGTCATGACGAACTATACATTTCTTGAGAAGAACATTAGGAAGGGTATGACTTTGAATGGATTTTAAAATCGGATATCTAATTCTCTACAATAATTATAAAAAAAAGGTGGATGGTAATATTTTAAATCTATGCATACATTGACGGTTGCTCTCCTTTAAAATATGTCTAATAGTTACCATAGTAACGGATGCGGAGTCTCCTCTATGTGCCTCCTGGTGTTATCAGTGTGAATAATAACACAATATTAGATTCATAAGAGGGCAAAGAACAGGTCCAAAGCAACACATCATAAGTTTTAACTAGAGATTTTTTTTTGGTTTACATTTAAATATAGAGAATATTAATATTCATCATTATATTATTATATAATTATAAAGGAAAGATACCCTTTTGTATCTGGAAAATATTCATATAAATGCAAACATAATTTGCATATGTATAGAAGAATAGACGGATCCATCAATCAATATCCTTTTACAGGGCTATGTGGCATGCAAACAACATAGTCTTGCTCCTGCAGAACTACCAGTACAGGCCAAAACAGAAATTGGCCAATGTCATTTGGCAGCTCAAATTTGTATAAAAAGATGATGAGCAAAGACAATATTAAAATCCTACCTTGTCAACAGTTGGAGAAAAATTTGGAAAATAGATTTTTCTAAACAAATGGAAATTTTAAGTATAAAAACTTTGTCTTCCTCCCTTGAGAGCTTCCTTCCTTTTTTCTTTTCCTTCCTCCTAAGTTTCTGTTTCTTTGTTTCAAAGATTTTAAGATCTTTTTACCCTCATCTACACTCTTTCTCTGGCCAGAAATGTCTTTGAGCCCCAGATAGAAAGGTTTTTAAGAAATAAAAACCGCTTTAATGGGATATCCAGCTAAGTGGTACTTCTCTGGACTAAAGTTGTTTTTCTCCAAGGGAAAAAAAAAAAAAAAGATTCTTTAAGAAGCAGTTCCCTTCCTACAAGAACAAATGTATGAGAATGTGTATTTTTATCTAGTAGAAATAAAAGAACCAGATTTGAATCAGAAAATGCTCAAAAGGGAAAGATTCGTGAAATCAGTCAGGTAAACTTTCATTTTTCTGGTTATGGAAGCTGAGGACCTGAAAAGTTAACTATTAAAGTTCCATGTCTAATTATAGTAGAATTTAGAATTTCTACTTGTGAGTTCTTATCATTGTACCATATGTCCTACAATAAATTTACGTTGAGGAACAGCAATGGCTGTGTCTTGAAATATATTTAAGACTTTCAAATTAAATTACTAATGAAGGCTCATTTTTAGTTTCAGAAATTTATGCTGTCTTTCTCCTATGAAAATTTGTGCTTGCTCGATTTCATGAGGGACCTTTAAACGGAGCAGTGGTTGAAACTATCGTGTCAGCTGCAAATGCATTTAAGCGTATGAAAAGTAACAGATGAACTCTACCAAGGATTAAGGAGATATCATAAACAGCATTTTTATAATCACAATAAATAGAAGCAATTTTTATGAGCTTAAAGAATCATTCAACTAAATATCTTTTATCTGAGCTCATTAAGGAAGTTTATTACTATTGTGATATGAATTAAGTAATTTATTTCATAAGATAAAACTCAGAATATATGCTGTTTTAATAGTCATATATTGGTAACAGATAGGAGGAAGAAAAACATCCCACAAAGTAGCATGTTTGGTTCAGTCCATGGCAGTTTCTTTATTTTTTTTTATTTTATTTACTTTTTTTAGTTTGTTTATTTTTTTTAGTTTCTTTATTTTTTAAGACTTAACTGAGAGCTGAAGTCTCAGATTTCATAGCAAAAGTAATTGCCCAAAGCACTGAGATGAAAAATGAATTTTCATTTTATTAATTTACTTTACATATGAATATTCATAAAATAGCAATACTTCATATCCAGGCAGTAGCAGTCAGTGATTATTTCACGACCACATACTTTCACAGATACACATATTTTAAATCGTAGTATATAAACTTTAAAAAGAAAAAAAAAAAGATTATCATATGACGTCATATTTTCAAATTATGAAGACGATACTTCATAGAAGTTATTTTCTCAAATGATGACATCTTGGATATAACAGATTGGCTGTTAAATAGACACAGGTTTGTGAACCATCTGTTAAGTAAAATTTCTCTATCAGAAAGAATTAACTCTATTTAAACCAGTCAGGCAACATGAATTTGGGCTGTTTGCCAGGCCTTGGAAATAACCTTGTAATATTGGAATGAATGTGACCATAGTATTCATGAAAAGACTGATTGTGCATTTCTCCCAGTTTGGAAAATGCCTACCTGGTCTTCTTTCCAGCTCATCAAACAAAACAAGTTATATGAATTTATTTTTACTTAGGTGTGAGTTTAGAGATTAATACAGCATGACTCCTGTTTTTCATAATTTAGTGCTTCCTTTTACAAGATCCCCAATTTTGACTGACAGCCAAGCAAGAAAATGAACTCCACATGGCTCCAGTCACCCTAATTATGTCAGAAGTAGCTGTTCTTCCTCTATTTTTCTTTTAGGAAGATTTATCTGCATTTGGGTGTATCCGCATGTGGGCACTTCACATTTTTGTTGATTTTGCTTACCACCCATTCAAAGATGTGTTAAACTTGAAAATCCACATATATAGTGTTAGATACTGCAGTGAGGAAGCAGGGCTGGGATGGTTAGCAGGTTTGTTTTTCTTTTTTAAAAGAGAATGCAAATTCCTGCCAACAAAGAGTTTATAATAAATTGCAAGGAAGGTATATCAACAAAACTAGAGAATGTAGCCATTTACGTTGGACAGCGAGGTTTAAGATTTGTCTTGGAAAGTTTCTAGAAGGACGAGAGATGTATTCCTATGCTCTAGTTGGTGATGGCAAAAAAAGGAGAGATGATAGGCAAAGTCTTGTTTATTTAGTCCAAAAGTGATTTAGTGTTATTTTCATTTTTAAGGCACCATTGAGTATAAAATTTCATATTGAAATAATAACCTTTTGGAGAGAAAAAAAAGGATAGTTGCTAAGTTCCTTTTGACACTGAATATAAGACGTGTCAGGAATGTTAAATAGACTGTATGCTGGGATGGTGCAGTCTGTTACAGCGTCTGACTCTTGATTTCGGCTCAGGTTGAGACCTCAGGCTTGTGAGATGGAGGCCCACAGGGCTGCATGCTCAGCCCAGAGTCTGCTTGAATTTCTCTCTCCCTCTCCCTCTGCTCCTTTCCTCCATGCCCACTCTTTCTCTCATTCTCTCTCTAAAATAAAATAAATAATCTTTTAAAAAAAGAAGAGGAAATATTAAATAGAAAGAAATTTAATTTCATAATTAAGAAAGTCAATGACATAATCGATGACAGGTGCTGCATGTTTAAAACATCCAGGGCATTTTACCAAAGGCTTTACACACTTTGTTCTCATTTATTTCCCACAGATTCCTGAGGTAGATTCTATTAGTAGCTGTTTATAGTCCTAGTGATCTATTAGGTGACATTAGGGGACAGCAGTGAATATTAGGTCTGGCATACATTTCCTTAAATGTAATGGCTAAGATATTAGCTTATGTCTCTGACTTCAGTGCTTAGATAAGGACTGGGAGTCTATACCACCTGCAAAAATTGGTTGAACACTATTAGAGGCAAAGTGATGGGCAGATGCATGGACTCTTGAGTTAGACTCCTCACAGTTAAAGTCCAGCTCTATCACTTTTCCACGCATACGGTCTTAGGCAAATTGCTTAGCCTCTGAGCATCTTACTTTGTTCTTCTATGAAATCTATTAAGTGTACCTACCCCCCATGTTCATTGTGAGGACAAAGGAATGAATAAACTTGAAATTCTGAAAATAGTGCCTGACACCTGAGAAGAGTTAGCTGTTATTATTTGCTAAGTGCAGTATAAGTGTTGTGCTAAAGGGGACAAGAAGAAAAGTGACAAAGGGTAGAATAAGTGCTATATTGGGTTATGTATCACTGTGGAGGGAAAATTTAAAAAGAAGCAAAGACGGTAAGTACCAGTACATAAATTGTGGTGTCGGGAACTGCAAGATGCTCGAAGAGCGTGAGACCTGAGCACGTATGGAGGCCAGAGCCTGCCTAGAGGAGCATCGATCTTACCCTGCAGGCAAAGGACAGGGGGACGGGCTGTGTGCAGAACTTTGAGAACAGAGCATCAGCTTTGTGTGTTAAGCAGATCAAGTGGGTAATCAGTTGGAGGAGAGCTTGAAGGAGCTTAAGAGTAGACTAAGCAGAGGGCAGTGGGAAGGCTTCTGTGTGCCGGGTCGATAATTCCAGAAGAGAAGGATTACATTTGAGGTGGGAACAAATGCAAATGAAGATTGATGGGGTACACAAAATAAGGGGCGACTCCCTGAGTGCTGCAATAATGTATTTTCACTTTACTTTGTAACTTCTTGGGCCAGAGAGCATGCAATCATGCTCACGACATTAATGGTGCTGTTTTGTAAAGTGCATGATAATCTCCAGGTTAGTGCTAACAGAAACTCTCTCTCCTATTTACAATTTTCACCTTCACCAAGAAAATACCCAGTCATGTCACTAAGTGTGCTTCTCCCTACTATTGTCCTTCAGGAACTTATTTGAATACACGTTGCGCGCTTCTCTCATCAGAGGTTGTCAGGACCAGCAACACGTTAATGATCATTTTATGGCAAAGTTTTATTGCTAAGAAAAAGGGCAACAGATTATTTTTCCTTCATATGGTTTCAGAAGATTCATTTCTCATTTCCATAGCCACTGAGAGGGGCATTCAGTCTAAGATGGGGTGACATTTTCATTGACTAAATGCTTGGTACGCTTGGGGCACCGTACACACTCAGAATGATTTACTATTTGTTGTTGGCAATAGAATTTTAAGTTATGTATTTATGACCGGGATTGTGTGGAGTCCTAAAATAGACACCGAATGCTTAATATAAATGTAAATTTAATAAGTTTGAAATGCATTTTTCGAGACACTACAAATTCTGTGTTGCGCTAGATGAGATGGGGGGCATGGGAACATAAGGATTAAGATGGGTTCTGTTAATATTTACTCAGAGAGTTGTTGCAGTTGATTTATCAATTGTTTAATAAGCAGTACAGGATCTCATTGCAGAGAACTTCCTTGTGAATATTCCAATTAAAAAAATTAATAATGTGACACCAGCTCCACACGATGTAAAACAGAAGTAGGCAGGCTACTATAGTTCACAGAATAGCTGGCAGTTAATTCCTATAGCAGAATAGAGAGATTCTCGGGGATGAGAAATTTCTTTCCCTTGACAGGTCTGAGAATGTTGAAAACGGAAGTACACCGACCATGATAACAATCTGCAAACAGAAATCTAGGGAGGCAGAAAGAAAAAGATATTAGGAAGTGCTTTGAATCCTTAAAATACTATTTTTTACGGATTCATAGTAGTATAATTTGCCTCAATAAACATGAACAATAGTAGCTATAATAACTTAATAATTAGCCGATTCTCACATTAATCTATTTTCATGTGTGTTTAAAAAGCAGTTTGTAAAAAAAGAAGAAGAAGAAGAAGAAATTTCTTTCCCTCTTGCTATCCAGTGGAATAAAAATGACTGCCAAGAGGGTCTTCCCACAAGGTATAGCCTTCAGCTACAAATAGAATTTATCTAAGGAATCAGAATTTCATTTGAAGACTTTTGCTTGCCTGAGGGCTTAACAAGTCACTAGTTAGTTCTTGTGGCAATCTTTCTGCTTTGAGTAACTCCAACTAATCTAAAAATACCGAGTAATATTATCAATGAAAATGCAAATTTGCCTCACCTTATGGCTTAAAAAAAACACCCACAGATCAGGAATTTTAAATTAGGAACACGTGGAGGGATACATAGAGGAATTTTGTGAATAAAAGGGGCCTGGACTCTGAGGTCTCTAGTTAATCAGAAATTGATTCTTCAAAGGGAGCAAATGGGAAAAGTGTATTCCCTCCCACCCCTGATGCCTTAATTCAGTAGCAATCATGGGTAGGAAAGGAGGAATGGTAATTCATTCCCTTTGTCCTCAAAGACAAGGAGATGGATTCTCTAAATGACTGCCCACACATGGTCCAGGACAAGGCGTTAGCTGGATGACTAACTTTGGCCAGGATAAGCAGGAGGCTCACGCTAGCCCACGCTCTGGGTGGGCTTCCACCCCAAGGCTAGCTTCCGCTCCTTCAAGTGACCGGTATTCACTCTGGCTCAAATATATTTAACTTAGGCTGTCCCAGAAAGATAGCTGTGAGGTGTCAGTGTCCTCAAATTCATGGGAAAATTCATCTCCATACCCATCCTATACCTCAAATGAAACATAGGGGAAGACCGGGGCGCCTGGGTGGCTCAGCTGGTTAAGCATCTGCCTTCGGCTCAAGTCATGATCTTGGGATCCTGGGATTCAGCCCTGAGTTGGGCTCCCTGCTCAGTGAGGGAGTCTGCTTCTCTCTCTGCCTCCTCCCCATCTCTGCCCCCTGCTCCTGCTCTCTCTCTCATTCCCTTAAAAATAAATAAATAAATAAATAAATAAATAAATAAATAAATAAAATCAATCTTTAAACAACAACATAGGGGAAGGCAGCCATTGTGGAGAAAATGTAGAGGAGAAACATAAGAAAGCTTCGAATAAGAATGTTTTTGCCCCAAATCCAGGGCCTAAGTGTGTCAAAAGCCCAGGAGCAGAACTGGAAGACTTGGTCCAAACAGGAACTGTACCTGCCATTGACAGTGTCACTCTTGGAAAACCAGTCATCCTCTTGGAGCTTCAGTTTCTTTGCAATAAAATGGGATAACTCTGACCTTCCTCGAAGGGTTGGTGGGAAGATTAAATGAGAAAATAGATTTTAAGGTGTCAAACAGTTCCTGGGACGTGATAGGTGCTTCAGGGAGTAAATATGAACCTGAATAATTCTCTCCTTGTTTTATTTTCCTTGGTTGGCTTTGGTTTAACTCTGAATCTTTCGAGCTGTCCGTACGATGGGAACATGCTTTTTACCCTTCATGGAGGATGAGCGAAAGAAGATTCAGATGATGAGAAACGAGAGAAGGTGGTATCAGGGGGGCTAAGGAGAATGTCAAAGTAAATCGTGCTGATAAAAATAAAATCTGGGAATATAAAATGAAGCCTTACAACGTCACGAGGTTTTAGGGTAGAAGAGGGCAAGCACTTTTCTAACTGTAACACAGATCATAAAGAGCAAATAGTGATAATCATAAAAGAAAAGAGTAAGAATATCTCTTGAATTGTCTTGAATCTTAAAAACAATTCAGGGGGCATTCGGGTGGCTCGGTGGTTGAGCGTCTGCCTTTGGCTCAGGTCCTGGGATCGAGTGAGTCCCCCATCGGGCCCCCTGCAGGGAGCCTGCCTCTCCCTCCTCTGCCTGTGTCTCTGCCTCTCTCTGTGTGTCTCACGAATAAATAAATAAAATCCTAAAAGTAATCAAATAAAAGCAATTCAGGGTACTTTTAATATTAGATTAGTTAAGCCACATTTTCCTTTCTGCTGACCACTGAAACTTTTAAACTGTTCCGTCAACTAGTGTATTGAAGCTCTCCACCTCTTTTGCAAAGTCCTATGGTCAAGGAAAGGTCTGCATTCGAAACAATGATCACAAAGTGAAAGGATCCTTCTCCCATGACCTTTGAAATAAGAGGGTCACTATCTGAGAAAGGAGGATCTGTAACTGTGTCATGACCTCTTAACTATGATTTGTCGCAATGTGGACAGCAGCCTTCATGTCCTGTGCATGATTTCAAGACAGGGACAAATGGCATCTTATCGAGTGGAGGATATGACCAGACATAGCGTTTGGTTGCTGCTCCCATTTCAGGGGATGCCCCTTGCTTTCAGGATGGTTTCACATTCTACCAGCGTGACTCTACAGAGCAGTCGGAGACTGGCCATTTATTCTTGGCTAATTACTAATATTATTTCCTCATTATTTAAAACTCGCTTATATATGACCACCAGTTTTCCTTGCCTTGGAACCACACTTTGCATCTCTGGATGTTGTTATCATTATAAGAAACAAGTATTACAAACTAAAATGTCGATATCTACACATAATTTACTTCGATTTCTTGAATTCAGTAAAACTCCTGATACTTACATTAGTTAGTGATTTCCAGACTCTTCTTTCAGCCCCTCTGTATATCAGTACAACGTGGCTTTTCGACCTATAGTAATAACGGATTATAGAGGACTACCTTGACTGGGCAAGTTTCGGGAGAAGAACTCTTTTTATCATCTCAAGCCAGCCACCAAGACATCTTTAGGTTGAGGCTAAGAAACAGTTGTCTTGTCACAGAAGCACAATTCAGTTGAACAAGTTTTGCGATCACTACCTCAAATAGCTGGGAGAACCAAAGAGTTCTAAAATGGCAAGAGGATTGAGACAGAATCCAGTGTAAATTCTTCAGGCAAAGAAAAGGGACAGAGAGGATTTCCAGATCAAGGTTGTACCGTTTGGTCATGGCAAAGCCAGACCAAGTCCTTGGGGTCGCATCTTCCAGTGAAACGATCTTTTGTTGTGGTGGTTCAAAGGTTCCCAGGGCTCGCCTTTCTTTGGGGCTGCTTCTGGTTACTTGCTCCCTCTGAATTCCGAGTCAGACAAGCACTTCTGAGATTTTGAAAAAAATCTTTGCACGCTCGATCGTGATTTCAAAAAGGAAACGGCAGCTTTACTTCAATGGGAAAAGCCCCAGAGGGTCACCTAAAGGCCAGTTCTTGTCACCCGTTTCCTGTGGCCACACACCTCTAACTTCCCACCTCCCAATTCCCTTCCCCAGAAAAGTCAAAATTAAAAAGAGTGGGTGGGGCCTTAGCACGACCCTGTTCCATTTGCCACAGCGAGTAAGTCTTTCTGAGTTTAACAACTGTTATACTGGGAGGTAAAGGGTGACTGTTCTAAAAGACTGGGATTTAATAAAAGGTGTGCTTGTGATTTTTTTTTTTAGGCTGGAAAACCAGAGTATTACTATATCCCGGATCTCTAGAGATAGCAAGAGCTATCTCTACCCAAGATGGGTAGTTGGAGAAAGTGGATGACTGTAAGTGAGACTACTTGATTATTATTTTTTTTTTCCAGAACAATCTTTATGTCTGTGGTGATCTGTGGCCAGTTGCTCTCTTACTAACGCTACCTACCTCCAGCCCCTGGTCTCAGTTAAATGTATACGCAAGTGCCGCTTGTGAGCCATTCTGGAAACTTGGTGCGCATTTAGGTAGATCAGAGATTCCTGAACTTCGGAAACTCGTGCTCAGTTATCTGCCACGAACATGCTGAAAATTCAAGTTCTGGGAAAAGGTGTAAAATAAGGTTGTACCTATATCTCTGTGTACGTGAGTGTCTGTGTGTGAGTGTGTGTTAGGATTGACTCAGAAGACAAGAGAGCAAGAAAACTTGTGACGACTGATGTTCTGAGGCAAAAATACATCCCCATGGTTCTGTCCTCCTGGGTGTTACGTGACTAGCCAAATGGGCAATTTGCTTTAAATCTTACTCCACTTAAACAAAATGGATAGCGACAGCCCCCAACCCCCCTAATGATCACTGTTATTAACCAAGTACCTTCTACTGTGTTCTTCAACAGGAATTTGTAGGTACCACCGTTTCTGCGTTCAGCCTGAATGGGCACTCCCTCCTAAGGTTAGAGAAAACACGAAAACCACAAAGAATGTTTGCAATTATTTTCTCTTGGTTGGCGGAACAGATGCCTTTCCTTAAGGAAAATGCCTTAGGCCAAAACAAAGCCATATTCATTCAGAATATATTGTTTAGTAATTGTGCAGAGTCTGGATTACATAAAATTTACTTGCAGTGCAAGGGTCCCACTTTTTCCAGGAAAGGTTTATACCCAAAATGGAGCAGGAAGACAGGCAGAGGATAAAGTGTTAAAAGAATCGACGATGCCAAGGGCAAGTGCGGTTCAAGAAACGGCAATGCAAGTGCACTGAAAGGAAACCAGGCAATGTGACGGTGATTTTGTCTAGGGGTCACGCAGGAGCACCTGGCTGGCTTTATTTATAAGGTGACTGTCAAATCAATCTGTGGAATATGGATGAGGCGAAACGCAGAGGTAGGGTATTATTCTAGATCATCTGTAACTTTTCAAATACAACCCTCATGCTGAAATTCCAGGGAGAATGTAAGCGACTCCAATAAAGAAACCTGTCAGTCACTCTAGAGTGTTTATTTATTATCCCCCTGAGCCAGGCACTGTTCTAGCCAATATGAAATGATACAAAATAAAGAGTAGTCATCACCCTTATAAAGTCATGAGAGCAAATGGATTAGGTCCGCAGACACACACACACACACACACACACACACACACACACACACACCCTCTATGTGGGTGGTCAAGAAATGTCAACTCTAGGGACATTTAACAGCCTCATTTAGAAAAGTCCTGATTGGAAAAGCCAACTTACAAAATGAGAAAAACTGGGGAGTAATTAGTTTTATTGCAAATAGATTCAAACACGCTCATAAAGCATGTCTTGTACATAACAAGCCTCCTTACGTGATTAAAATTGGGAACACTGGCCCTCTCCCTTACAGATCCCCCAAAACATTTCTGGAAAACATATTTATTGTGCAAATATGGATTCACACTGGTGTTGAGGAGTTGCCAAAGGGCATAAAATAACAAGCCTGTGTCCGCTAACCTGTAAATTCTCTAGAGTCCAGGAGTGGGCCTTGTTCCACCGCCTGGCTCCCTTGCACTGTGAAGATGGACGTGGCAGAGGGGTAAGAAGGAAGGAACAGGGTAGGCGAGTAAAGACGGGCTGGGCTTACTAGAACTTTTGCGAGGCAAACAAGAAGAGGACCCAGGACCCAGGGGAGGTGGAGGTGGCCGGTGTCAGTGGGGGTCCCGACGCAGGAGAGGGCTGGGCATTTTCTGCAGGACTTCGGGGCGCTCAGCTCCTGGCTGGGTTCAGCAGGAGTCCGTGCCCTGGGCAGGATCCCTGGGCAGCTCTCAGCAGAGGGCCACGCGAGGCCGGCACGGGGCTGCCCGGGGGTGGGGGGTGGGGGGTGGGGGGGAGGCGCTCGCCACTGCAGCGGGACCTCAGCCTGTGCCCCGAGGCTGCCTGCTTTCTCCGCACGCCCCGTGGAGCCCCGTGGAGCCCCGTGAAGGCTCCGATTGTTCGCGCGGCTCCTTCAACAGGAGGTCGGGCGCTGCTTCTGCTTCGCTTGCCGGGGGACCTGCCCGCTGTCGCGGTAACGCAGCCCGAGGAGGAGGCGCAAGCCCGGCGAGCACGGAAGCTTCTGCGCCCCCCTCCCGGCGCCCGGGCCCCAGGGCGCAGCCCCAGGCGGCGGGAGCTCCCCGGGCCGCGCGCCCCGAGCCCGGAGCCCCGCGCCCAGCCCAGCGCAGCCCAGCGCAGCCCAGCCCAGCCCAGCCGGCCCGGGGGCGGGGGCGGGGGCGGGGGCTTTACTTTTGTTTTCTGCATCCCGCCTGGGGAGCTGGGGGGCTGGCCCAGGGCAACTCTCTCGTTCCCTCGGCGCAGAGGCTCCGGCCAAGCCTTCGGGGACGGGGATCCCCTCGGAAAGTGACGACGAGCCCCGACCCCGGGGAGGGGGAGGGGTGGGGGTGCGGGTGCGGGCAGGGGGCGCTGCGGGAGCTCCGGGGCCCTCGGCCGGGCCCGGGCCGCACCCTCCGCCGCCCGCCCCGCTCGCTCTCGGGGGCCCGGGCCGCCCGCGCTCGGGGTCCCGCCGCGCCCCCCCGCCCCCCGCCCGCGGCACCTGCTGAACCGCGCGGCTGCCCCGCCCGCAGGCGCCGACCCCCGCCCCCCCGCCCGCCGGAGCCGCCCCCGCCGCGCCCCGCCCCGCCCCGCCCCGCGCGCTCCGCCCGGCCCGGCCCCCGCCCCCGCCCCCGCCCCCGCCCCCGCCCCCGCCCCCTCCTCGGCCGCCGCCGGCGGGGGGAAGCTGGACGAGGGGAGGGGACGCGCCGCAGCCCGGGGCCGCCGGGCCTCCCGCCGTCGCTGCCCCGCGCCCAGCCGCCGCGCCGGCCCCGGGGTTTGCGCGGACCCGCGGCGCGCGGGGAGGGCCCGGCCGGAGCCCGCGGGACCCGAGCCGCCGAGGCCCCTGCGCCCCGAGCGGCGGGCGGCGCGGCCCGACCAGGTGACCCGGCGACCCGGCGGGCGGAGGGCTGCAGCCAGGTGCCGCGACCCGCGCCCGCAGCCCCCGCCCGCAGCCCCCGCCCGCAGCCCCCCGCCGCCCCCGGCCCGCGCCCGCGCTGCGCCCCGGGGCCCGCCGCGCCGCCCCCGCCCGTTTCTTCCCCTCCCCCTCGGGGGTGGGGTGGGGGTGGGGGTGGGGCGGGGGAGAGGGGCGCCCGCGGAGCGCATCTATTGGCAGCGCCGTCATTGATCCGAAACCGCTCGCCGCCTGCCCGGCCCGGAGCCCGGCTCCGCGCGACCCCGAGCTCCGGCGCCCCGGCCTGCGCCCCGAGGTGACAGGTGCTCCCGGCAAACTTGCCGGCGACTCCCCCCGCTCCGCCGGCCGCCCCGCGTCCCCACCCCGCCCCCCCTGCCCCCCTCGCCTCCCCCCCACCCCACCCCCACCCACCCCACCCCACCCCACCCCCACCCCCACCCACCACTCCGGCACGGCTCGGGATTTGCTTAAACCTTGGGAAACTGGTTCAGGTCCAGGTCTTGCTTTGATCCTTTTCAAAAACTGGAGACGCAGAAGAGGGCTCTAGGGAAAGTCTCGGACGGGATGATGTGGAGAGTAGCCTGCGGTTCCCCGCGGCCAGAGCAGGCTCGGCGCTCCCCCCGCGGCGCAGCCTTCCCCTGGCGGTGGTGAGAGGGACTCCGGAGTCGCCGCTTCCCCAGGGCCCGCCGCGCGCGAGCTCTCGCCCCGCTCGGCCAAATGCTCCTGCTCGGGCTTCTCCTGCTCACATCCGCCCTGGCCGGCCCCAGACTGGGGACTCGGGCTGAGTCCAGCCTGAGCAGCAAACTGCAGCACTCGAGCGGCAAGGAACAGAACGGTGAGTCGGGCCCCGCGCCCCCCGCCCCCCGCCCGCTCCTGGCGGCCCGCGGGGCGCGCGCGCGCGTCCGTGTCCGTGTGCGTGTCCGTGTCCGTGTGCGCGTCCGTGTCCGTGTCCGTGTGCGCGTCCGTGTCCGTGTCCGTGTGCGTGTCCGTGTGCGCGTCCGTGTCCGTGTCCGTGTGCGTGCGCGATGGGACCGGCCGCGCCGCCCGCCCTGGCGGGGGCTCCGGGCGCCGCGAGCAGCTCGCAGCCTCGGGAGCGGCCCCCGGGCGGGACCCGGCGGCGGGAGGGCACGGCCGGCCGCGTCGGGGAGGGCGCCCCGGGCGCGATCGCGGGCGCCGGGGCCAACGCGCTCGGCGGGACCTTCCGTTGCCGCCGCCGCCGCCGCCGCCGCCGCCGCCGGAGTTAGGAGTTCAAGGACGGCCCCAACCCTGAGCCCGAAATGAATGAGTCTTGGCACGTTTCGCTTTACTCCGATTCTCTCTCTCTCTCTCTTTTCTTTTTCCGTGGGGAGGGGAAAAAGGGGGGGGTGTTTGAGGGGATGCGCTCACCGTGGAAAAGGCATCAGTTAACCAGTAAGGAGGTAGGAAATAACAGAGGTCAGGAGGCCGCGTGGACCTTCTCAAGGGGACTTAAGAAATGGATCTCTCTTGCGCTCTCTCTCTCTCCTTTTTCTCCCCCCCCCCCCAAATGTGCCTTTGTACTCCCAAAGCCCTTACCTTTCTGGTGTGTGTTTTTATACGTGTTGGTGAATGACTGCTATTTTGTGTGTGCTGGAAACGACTTAATCCTGCATAGGAAATGAGAATTACTTTCAGCTTTCAAGTGTACCTGAAATGTTTAGAGAACTCTCAGATGCGAGTTCCCTTGGGCTGGGATTGCACAGAGCTGGAGAAAGGCTCCTTTCATAAAGCCAGGGGCAGCTTCAGGGTGTGTAATTTGCTTAGCCTCTGAACCCCATATGATTTACATCATTCAATTTCTAAACTCTTTTTCTCTTGATCTACCATTATGAAGTCATTTTCGAGAATACTTTGTAAATAGAAATTCTATACTGCACATGAAACCACAATGTTAATGTAGGCTGTCTAAAATTAGAATATTAAATGCCCTGTTTACAAGTGGTGCTCTCAATGTTACTTGAAAAGCGATGCGCATGGTTTGTTTTTTTTTTCTTTTCTTTTCTTTTCTTTTTTTGACTGCTTTGTATGCCATCTACTCAGAATGCAAGAATGCTGTCACTCCATTAACCAGGGGGAACTGAACACAAGCAGCATACCTAGAAAACCAGAATGGTGTGTGCTGCGGCTTTAAGTCACAGCAACTTCTCCCTTTATGTATTGGGGCTGTGTTAAAGCTTCCACTTTGAATGTGAGCTCTCTGTTCATCCCGAAGAAAGCGCAGAAAGTTGTAAAGCGCAAGGATAGATTAAATAAGGATTCCCGGAACTTTTGTGGCCGTGATTTGGACGTGTTGTGTGTGCAGCAGATACACGTGATCACGTTTATCAGCCAGCATTCATGTAGTCGCTCCTTACAACTTGCTAATGTGATGGCACATGGCACCTGCAGGCTGCTCGAGCTGCTGATCAAAGGGCAGCCTAGGGATCTATCTCTAATCACAGGAGCTGCAGAGGACTGGGGGAGAGTGATCAAAGGAGCCCCAGCACCAGCTGTACCCTGGCAGGAAACAGATCAGACCAACCTTTGTTGTTTTTCACGTGAAATTAAATGTCCAGCTCAAAATACTGCTCCTTCCTAGACAGGCTTCTCCAAAATGACGATGCACAATATTCGTGGCCGCACACTTCTCTGTTGTATTGTTCCGGTGCCATTATCATTTCTCCTTCTGCGCTGTTTTATCAAGCCTGTCCTGGCTTCTGCCACTTTTCCCGAAACCATTTGCGACTTGTGCCTCTGGTGGTCATACTTTCTTGTGATCCACCAACCATCATCACTTTGTAATGGGCCCCCGAGAGAGCTCTCACCGGGTCATTGGCCACTTTACTGAGGAGGTGCACACCCTCTGGAGAGGTGAGTTCATTAAGCCAGGCCACACACACTCTGTTACCCTCGGAGGCTGGGCCATTTCCATTCCTAAGTTGCCTGATGCTAAAAATAGCCTGGCTGTTTCCTAATCTGTGGGTAGAGGATTGGGCTATGTTTAGCTCTTGGGAGGGTTGGCAGCAGGAAGTAACTGGAGGTAGAGAACTACTCACCTTGTAGTCTTTAGCCTCGGGAGAAGTGGGACTATCCAGCACCAGGGGGCAATATAGAGCTATTTTCCTGCACATGCTCAGGTTGATTTTTCTGCTTCAGGTTTCCAAGATTTGAGGATAACAGGTAGGTCCCAAGAAGATCCTGGAACTTCTTTATCTTCTTTTTTTTTTTTTTGGGGGGGGGAGTGGGGTGGGGTGGGGGAGTTCGAATTTTTCATTCCCTTATGTGGGGTGTTTTTTGCCCTTGTAATGAGTTCTGATTGATTTTTGATTGCACCCATGGTATTCTCAGTTTTGAAGATTGCCCAGTTCTGGAAGTACAAACCCTTCTGGAGATGCCACACAGAAACGTCATTGGCCCAATATGTGCATTGCATCGTTTTATGAAAGGTCTTCGAAGTGCCAGATGTCCAAATTGATCTGTTTATTGTGACTACTGGAAGTCATTCTGGATTTCAAAGACCTCTCCCCAGTGATTCTGTCTTTTCTCTAGTAGTCTAAGTCCTCAGATATTGAGGCAGTCGGATCCCAGGACTGCCTCATTTCCATACTAACTTGGTGTCCCAAGAGGAGCTGAGCTATGAATACATGGAAATTGATGGCTATAGCCAATGCTAGATATTTGGATTTCGGTTGGATCATGGGAAGGTGCTTCCAAATTCATCTTGAGGGATATCAGTGTCATTTATCCTGTTGTTATTCATTACGCGGTTTTGGGCCTAATACTCTTTTGCAGTTCTTGCCGCTTTGCTGTGAGAATAGCTTTATCCTCCAATATTACATTACCTATGTGTCCTTAGTTCTTAACCTGAGTTCTAACCCCGAAGTCTCACATGTAAACCAAGGGTCTCCAGGTGTAACTTAAAGATGGAGATAAAAGATTAGCACACTGACTCATGTAGGGTTCCTGGCCTATACCTCCTATATGACCATGGGAAAAATGGCTAGTATCTGTGTGCACGCCCTTAGAGGATACCGCCTGCCATAAGACCAGTAGGTTCTGGGATGGAGCTTCTGAGTGGTAGCAGAAGGAATCATACGCATCACAAAACCAAAAGAAGCAAAGCTTACTTTATCGATTGCACATAGCCCATATAGACACCACTCACAAAGGTGCTGACGGAGTTAGGCCTCATCCACACTGTATCATTGGTAAGTGATTTTAATTTATCCATAGAGCCGAAATGTGCTTACTGTTCTCATTTTTCTTTAACCATCTTTAGTGCAGACTTGGAATATTTCCCTATTACTTAGGGCTATCCTAATGAACATCATTTACCGTATGTGCTCTTTGACTCAAGAACTTTTGTGGCCTATAGGGCCATTTACCTTGGGGGCAAATGGTCCTCTGGGAATGCCTTTCTGAATACACGTATCTTGTGTTTGTGGCTACGCTGTCTGTCTTTTCTTCTGGGGCCAGCTTGCTCCTCCTCCTGCCATGTGCCTATGCCTAACAAGCCTCTCCCCCTACCCTTTCTAGGGCATGGCTTCAAGGCTCTATTTTACTGAGAATAGATAATCACAATCCTTCAAATGGTGTCCAAGAATAAATAGGATCTTATCCAGCGCTAAAGGGACTTCCGACGAGTTAGTCTATAAGTTGTAGTGTGTGACCTTTGTGATATTTATTTTGTTTAGGGGCTTTTTTTTTTTTTTTTTTTTTTTAAAAAGAACTTCCTCCTTGTTCTCTGCTCGGTTTCAGACTATTGAGGAAATTGAAGAAGTAAAGTGCCATTATGTAATGATGAACATTGTCTTTCACAGTGACAAAAAAACCCCATTCTGCGTTTTGGTAACATTTCCCTCCTACCAAGTGTTATCTTTTACAGTTAACCTGATGTATTTTATATTCACCTTGAAAAGATGATCAGGTCTGTAGGAAGCTTTAGGGACTAGCATGTTATGTGTTAAAAAGTTTTAAACAGAGGCCAGGATCTGACACCAAGGGTTCCCCAGTGGTGGCACTTTGTAGACTTCTATCTCAGGCACCAACATCTTAGCTTTGTCTATTCTTATTTCATCCCTCCTGACACTTACTTTTTACAGATCTTCTTTATATTCTCTTCCGCTTCATGTTTTTTTTTTTTCAAGTTTTATAGTGCTAAAATTCTGTGTCATCTACAAACTTACACAGTTTTCGTGGAAACAGAATTCTAATCATAATGCGACGTGTTAAGTAAATAAAAACGGAATCAATGCATTCATAACGTCCATACTGCCCCCCCACCAAAAGTTTCCAAAATTGCTAAAATTTTCCCCATAGGTTTTTATTTGTGTTAACCAAAATGATAGAAGTCGTAAAAGTCCTTTTATCTACTCCGTCTAGGTTTGATGCTTCTGATTGTTTTATTTGGAAGTACCATACATAGCCAGAGTGTCTCTATACAATGCTGTGTGATTTCTATGTGACTCATTTATTAAACAGTCTCTCTGTGTTATTTTTCTCTACCACTGCCTCTGTGATTTTTTTTTTTTTGTTTATTTTTTTGAATCTCTCTTATTTCCTGAGGACACCTCTAATGGTTGATTTTCAGTTGGTATGTACCAGTACTACCATA